TTTATGTTCATGTTCCTGTCGCGATGCGGTTTTTGGGAAGGTGCCAAGTCATCGAGGATCGCTCAATTTGCTAAGCATCTGAGGCCAGATGGCGCCACGGCCCAAGTTCCGCTCCTAATAAGACAATAACAGATTTCTTGTAAATTATGGCTGGCAGGGTGCTAGAGAGGGTGGAACAGACTGCATATGAAAAATGAGTTGTTAAGGTGGCAACACAACATAAGGTGCACGCAAGGGAAAGAGAAGGGGGTTCTTTTCCAAGAAAGTCTTTCGATTTAATTAAAAAGCACCCCGTATGCGAAGACTAAAGTAATATCAAAGGAAAGCACAGCCTGAATGCATAGCCATGAAAAGCTATAGACGGAAAAGCCCAGACAAATATTTGCCCTCGGCATGCACAGCGGGAAAGTCACATAATTCAGGTTTGAAACTTATTAAATATGAGAAATAATTAAAGGAATAAATTAAAAATCAATTTAAAAACTTAATATAAACCTAAAAATTAAATATAATTGACACATTTCATAAAATAAAATAAAATAAATAAGTTAAAATTTAATTTCCAAAGATTTGTTTAATTCTTCTCATCATCATCGCATTTTCCTATGGTTCTATAACTTTATCCTTTTCACTTAAACCTTACATACATCTAATCCCTTTTTCAACATAAATTCCCACTCATATTTTTCTCACAGTGCAGTAAAGTGCACAAGTGATGTATGTGGGGGCCACGGAGATGGAAAAGATGCGAAGCAAACTGAATGCCAATGACAAATTTATGTATAAACTTTAGCGCTAAAGTGCCACTAACTAACCTCTTCACACACACACTGAGACACACGCACACACCTGTCGCCCCTGGATAAAAGGTGAGTGCAATGGCACGGCGCTTTATGAAGGAAACCAAAGGATCTATGAATAGATGCACCTGAGTTAGAGGACGAGCGATGAGCACCCACAATAAGGACTCCCACGTTGATTACTATCAAAAGAGCGGCCTTCTGAAGGAGGGAGACCAGAGACTGGAAAAAGGGGTACCAAAATGGGATACAAAGGGGTCAAAAGGAGGTTACAAAAGGGGATCCATAAGGGAGTTCCAAAAGGGGTCCAAGAGGAGGTACAAATGGGGGGTCCAAAGGGTGGTCCAAAAGGTGCCATAAAAGGGGATCCTGCAAGTGGGTGCAAAGCCTCCTGACAATGTCAATGTGCTGCGGCTGCCGCGCAGCTTTTAATGATTTATTTGAGAAAATTTACACGTGAGCGCCGGAGAAAAAGGGGGCGTGGGGGCTGGGCGGGTCGGTGAAAACAAACACTAACACACAGACGCCGGCAAACAGAAGATGAATGGAAATGGGAGCCCGCATGGAAATGGAACTGGAACTGGAACAAGGCAGGGCCACGTCGAAACGGGGGAGTCGGAGTCCAAGAACATATGGCAGAAGGGGTGGGAAGGGCCATCCTGGTGAATTAAGTTGCCAGACCATGAAATGCTTTGGCACGTACGTAGCGCCAATTCCGCGAAGCTTTTTGCATAAACAAAAGACAGCGGCGTGGGCGCAGAAAAGGGGGGTTGAGGGTTGGAGAGTATTGGGCACAGGGCCAGGTGGGGTTCTTCCAGTTCTCGGCTCTGCCTTGCTATCTTCTCTCCTTCATCGCTCGTTCGCTTTTTGTGTGTGTTATTTCTGTTACAATTCGCGGTTATTTTTTTGTTCATATTTCTTTAACGATTTATCATGCGAAAATTGTCTGGGGCCAAAGCCAAGCTCACTTTGCATATGCCAAGCTGAAGCTATGCACAGTGGGACAAGACTTATCGATAAATGTTAAAATAAATGTAATAAAATTTTAACACTATCGTTGAAACAAGGATATACCAACGATAAAATATAATAATAATTTGTAAATAATATAAAAAGTGAATTATAGAAGTTTATTACTTAGGATGATGAATTCTTAACAGCTTAAAAAGTGATAAACTGTATACCTTAAGCTACGAACATTTTTTTTTTCTATTATAGATTTAAGGTTGATGTTAAATAAACTAAATATTTACTAAAATATATTTATTTTAAAAGCATAAAATCTCTAAATGTTTAATGTTTAAATTATTGTAGCTTCCTCTAAGCTAGTTAGTTTAAACTGCTACTAAGTATAATTAAATTAAACTACAGTTTATTATTAATATACTAATATTTTAAGAAGACAACTCCCATTTCTGTTCGCTATCAATTCCATCTCCAATAATATATGTTAATCTTAAACTCTTTACTCAATAAAATCTTGAATCGAAACCAAAAAACACACAGATTTCGCAGATTTAAATTGTATTTTCCGCATCCATTTATATTTTTGCGAATTTCCATATTGATGTTTTTCCACAACCGTGATTCAACCACCGTGCAAGCGTTTACTATTATTGTTTTACCACCTGCGGGTGTTTTTCTCTCCCAGTGCCGCCGCGCTCTCCTTTGGCACTACGTAAATTTAGTCACGTTGTTTAAATAATAAACTGCAGTTCACACACACGCCCCCACAGAAACACACACTCCACCCCGGGCGAAATTATGCAAAAGCTAAGAAAAGATATATCTGGGAGTCAGAATCAGAGACAATGGCCGGAGTTATGATGACAATGTGCATACGTCATGACGGCTGAGGTGAGGGAGTTACGGCAACGAAGGGCTCCCAACTCCCCAACCCACGGTTCGATTTGGTTTAGGGCGCCCGAAACCACCTGAAACTGATTCCCAGATACAACTCAATCAGGGAGCAGGTGGAGCAGGTGGAGCACTGGCCGGAATGGGAATAGAAATAAGCACAATTAATTATGGGTTATCGCTAAACAAATATCTCTGGGCCTTTTAATTAGCATGAAATATACGAATTCTCGGATAAGATCTATCTGTGTAATTTTATGGGCCAACTTGGGGAGTTTGGTAACCGTTAACGGTTGAACTCGGGTAGCGATATAGATCGAAAGTCGTTGTGAATTGAGCGATAAAGCCCTTAAAAACCCCAAGATGGGAAATTAATGGGTTGAAGTGGAGTTATGGCTTGAGTTAGAGCTAGTTAGTTAGGGTTCATCCTAAAGATGAGGTCGGAGAAATAATAAATTCATTATAAAATCTACGAAATTAAAGGCAATTTGATTTTATTTTGTAATTTATAATTAATAATATACAATTTTAAATATATATTATATATTTTAGAGAAAAACTCATTTAACAAACTGTATATTTAAAATTTAAATTTGTTTCATTTATCGATAACTTCCGATATTTGGTCGATATCTAGTTAAATCTATTTTTGACATATTAAAATGGTAAATTAATATTTTAAAATATTTTAAAATTTTATTTACATTACCATATAATATATATATAACATTTGATTGAATTCGATATTTTCTCGATATCTCCTATCGCTTTTATCTCTTCGATATACATCGCTAGTCCACCCCATTTTAGGGCAAAACTGACACAGCTGACATTTGCATACGCAACGGACTCCAGGTACGGAGCAGAACAATTTGTTACATTGTTTTTACCAACTTAGTTGTGGACCAAGACCAAGAATTATTACGCAGCATAAATTACGGAAGGAATGGGGGGCGAGTGCGACCCACTTACCCGGCCGCAGGCAACAAAAGGGTTACCAAAAATAGCAATCCCAGCCATATAAAGCGGGAGACAGAGTGCCAGCATCCTCGACCTCATCCACATCCTCCTTGTGGCACATAAGGCCATAAAATAGTTGTCGCTGGCTGCTGCCTGTTGGCTGCCGGCTCTCTGGCCTCGGATAAGCATCTGGCCCCCGCTCTTTGCAGTTGGCCTCTGATTACTTCGTTAAGTTGCATGTTCCTACAAATTGTTTCCAAAGAAAGGCAATGAAAACGAAAATATTTCCCCCATTTCAAATACAAAATACAGAAAAGAAAAAAGAAGCAGAGGGGGGCTCCATGGACCGTAAAGGGGTTAAAGGTAATCACAACAGAACACAACATGAAAATTGTGAAAGGTGCATCTCTCTCTTCTCTAGTTTATGCTTGGATCCCAGTGATCCCGATCTCTGGCCAGACGACTGCGCTGACTCCTGTCAAAATATATTCCAGCTCTTATCGGGGCTTTGTCATCGCAGACAAGTGCCTGTGTCTGGGAACTGGAGCTCTGGCCGGGGGAACTTCATTAGAGAAAGTCCCCCCAAAACATACTATCCCCGGAGAGATGAGACCCCGGACCCCTTGGCTACTAATTTTTAGTAGCTTTGTTTTGGTGTGTATATTTTGTCAAAGCTAATTAGTACGTTGAACCATTAACAATGCAGCTCCTCGCCAGTGATGAATATATGACTGAGCCCAAAACCCCAGGCGGAGTGTGAACTGCACATTTTCGTCTTCTTTCTTTCGGGTTTCCTCCAGTCATTATGACATTGGCATTAGCATAATACGCGTATTATGCGTATTAATTACAGCGCAGACATTTGCATTTAAACGCCTATTTGTTCCAGACCCAAGACGATCCCAAGACGGTGGTGGGTCCGAGTCCCGAATACCTCATAATACCCACACTCCCCGGTAGCCAAAGCTTGGGCTGTAATTATTGAATTAGAAGACAATAGAGCCTAAAGAGGCAGAAAGCGACAGAAGCCGCGAGATGCGTACGCTTTGATAGCCAAGAGAGACGAGGCAGGGAAAAGACCACCCGAGCGTGGAGGAATATCCAAAGATGATGATGAGCCCAGGACAGGAGAACAAAAAGAGTTATTATGTGGATATTTGCATAAATTTCACGCCCTTGCCGGTGAAATCAACCGGAGAGGAAGTGCCCTGGGCCACCGAGGTCGTTCTCTAAATTTAAACTGACATTCAAATTTGGGAAAATAAATAACACAATGTTCCATTATTTAACAAAACATAAGTATTTAAATTTAAACCTAAATATAAATATTATAAACCCAAAGTAAATATCAATATCACATATCTTTGTACACACTCAACAAATTTAACCCATCATGCTGAGAAATTCGCTGCCCAGATGATGTACATCGCTAAAGTGCTCCAGCAGGGACTTGGGACACCTTGGATACACCTGATTGCAATCGCTGCCAGCTGCTCCAAGTCGCTCGGCCTGCAGGTAATCGTTGTCCGAGTGCTCTGCCAGGGGATCCGCCGAACTGGAAGGTCTACAAAATTTAAAGAAGTGTGTTATAATCAACTCCTCGATATGGCAAGGATCCCACGATCGTAAACTCACGTAAGCAGGATGTGAAGGACTTCGCCCAGCAGGCCATTCCGATCGTCAAAGGGTGCGGCGGCACTCTCGCAGATGCTTTTCAGGACACAGACTCTACCATTGAGCTTCATGCGAATGGCCAGGGCGGTGAAGGCTTCGTACACCGACCAGCGATAGCTCCCTAGGGCTTGCAGATCCTCCTGCAGGATACTCGGATCCAGGCCCATCTGTTCCTCGGACTTCTGCAGGATCTTCTCAAAGATAGTGGCATTCTCGGGCAGTCGCCTGGCAGTGATTCCATGGACATCCTTGACTCTCAATTGCTTGGCGGAGTAAGGCAAGAAATAGTCAGCCTTCAAGACATAACCCGTGACCACATGTTCCACTTTGAGATCCTCCACGGGAATACCAAAGCCAGCAATCATCTGAAAAGGATTTGGCTTTATTCTCCTAAAATCTGAGCTTGGATTTATAATTTTCTCACCTGCAAACGTGTGGGATTGCCTCTGGGATAAATCAAGGGCAGCCATCGGGCTTTTCTCACTAAAATATCACTCTCACTGTGAATGCTTGAAGCCACCTTATACAAATTCATAAAACTAAATACCAAAATAAGTATTTTTATAAAGACACTCATGGTTTAGTCCTTGGAAAGTGCTTTAACTTCACAATAACTTCACAGCTCAAGAGCAGAATGATCACTAAATTAGCAAACTTCAATAAGATTTCACTTTAATAACGGACAACCGATCTAAACTGATGACTTTCTTCGATTAGAAAAAAACGAAAGTGTGATTAACTCCAGGCTATATAGCACACTTTAGTCACGATTGGAACTGGATCCAATATACCAGCCGACACTGTAAGCTTTCTGGCTCCACAATAACTTCACGTTCTCTCAATTAACACTCTTTCGAGGCAGACCGACTTTTGTTTGTTTCACCCGGCCCCGTTGCCACACAGAACACTGAGCGAAAGTTTTGGCTTAATGAATTCATTCGATTTATTGTCTCAAAACAAGACCTTGTCCAGGTTGTGATGCAGTTCGCTAAAGTGCTGGAGCAGACTGAGCCGGCACTCCTTGAAGACCCTATCGCAGCCAGCACCGGACTGACCCACCTTTTCCGCATAATAATACTCGTTATCCGAATGTGTCGATAGCTTGTCCACGGAGGAGGAGGGTCTGTGAAAAAATAAAAATGGAAAATATATATTTTCTAGCCTACCCTAAATCTTAAAATATTAAATCATAATTAAATTATTACTTACGTTAACAATATGTGCATAATATCCGCAAAAAGCCCATTGGCAAAGTGAAAGGGCTCCTCGGCCGCCTCGCAGATACTCTTTAGCACACAGATCCTTCCCTGGTAGCCCAGCCGATCCGCCAATCCCTCGAGTCCCTTGTATAGCGTCCAGCGATAGCTGCTTAGGACCTTGTTGGTCCTGGTCAGCAGCTTCCTGGTGTTCTTGCCCAGCTCATCCACGCCGACCAGAAAGTTCTCGAACATGGGTTTCCGCTGTCTTCTCGCTCCTGTGATACCTGGCGTGGCCACTTGGGTGAGGGGCAGAGCCGTGGGTGTCCTCAGTTCATCGGGAGTAGTGGGCAGCCAGTACTCCACCTTGAGGACATAACCAGTAGTCACCGCCTCGTAGTTGAGGTCCTCCATGGGAATACCAATGCCGCCAATGAACTGGAAGAGGAATCAAATTTGTTATGATTGAAATCGATGTGTATCCATTATCATCTTACCATGACACGAGTGGGCGAGGTGGTGGGATAAATCAGCCAGGGAATAGGCGCTCTTTTGCTCCTTTGATGCTTGGAAAGACTCCCTAAGGTGGCCATCACCTGGCAGAGCAGGCAACTGGCCAGTAGGACGGCTAAGCTTGACTTCATGTGTCTGTTTATAGAGCGAATATACCGAAGCGTGCTGATGCCAGCTCGTTCCCTGAGATACTAAACCACATTCTTGCTGTTCTTTTTTTCTGACACACGAATTTTCATTTTTGATTTCTCAATAAAAATGCCCAGATCAATCGTTCCCGGCGGCCAGAAGAAGACATCTACTTTCTCGCGCGAGAATGTTACACATTCTAGCAATTAGCACCTCCACTCCGCATGGAGACGGGGTCAAGTGGTAACCGTGTAAATCTTGCATATTCCGGTTTTCTTTTCTTGGCCACTTCTCACATATTCAGCGGAGTTGCTGCCAATTCCAACACCCATTAGAATAATGGCTGCTACAACCTGTTATTTTTGCAAAATGCATTTAGTTGCCGCAAATACTTTCTTCAAGATGGGTGCACTTAGTTGGGAGTTCCTCTGGGGATTGGTCTTGGTTTTAAGTTTGGAATTGGTTCAGTGCTTTCTGGTCTTTCCACGTCAGGGATCTTTTGGGGTAAGAAAATATCAAAGCATTCAAACCAAGTGGATTTCATTCTTCAGTTATTTTTAGTTGTTGGCTGCCGTGGCTGTTCCTTTGGATTTATCGCCCAAAACTGTGTACATGGCTTTCAATTTTGAGTCCAACTATGCACTGCCCTCCAATGATTCCTACAATCAGTGGATTGATAGGGTGAGTTACTAGGAAAGTCCTTTACAAAAAATATAAATAAAATGCAACTCCCTTTTTAAGTGGCAACTTTACGAACCCTTTATGGGCGTCCCGGGCAATGTAACCCCTATCAATGCCCGTCAACAAGCTAGCGAAGACTTGGTCACCCAGGAAGAAAACAAAGAAGAGGAAGGAGCCGAAGTAAGACGCCGCTCGGTGGGATCACCACCACCTTTCCGGCGACGCGACTTCTACCTTGGCATCATGAACTACCTGTCCCACTATGGGTTCAATGGCTCCGCCTGCCTGCTCCGCGTCATCTGCGAGGTCAGCGAGGCGCCTCTAGATGCCCACAATGGGCTGGTTGGCAGCCTCTTTCAGATTCTGTTCATGTGAGTGAGGAGGAGAGGCAAGAGAGCATTTCCTTTACTAATTATGATATCTTTTGCCGCAGGCCGACGACGAGTGCCGCGGAAGAGGAACTGCAGCACGTGGACGCGCTGTACGAGGCCACCGATGCGGGCACGCGTGGCCTGGGCTGCTCCGATTACGTGGCCAACTGCGGACACAGTGCCCTGGACCTGATAAGCGTGGTGCTCTGAATAATATCTGCCAAAAAAGATATAAGAAAATAAGACTTTAAATGAAATTAAATTTGGAGAGGTGGTGTTCATTAGGTAGAGGCTTTAAGTGAGGTTTTTTGATGGTTCTTAAACACTTCTTCGACTTAGAAATTTCTTAAAATAAAAAAATTTAATTACAAAATATAAAATCGATATGTCTCAATCACAATATTTATTCTTTTTAGATATAGCCTTCTTCTTTTGCGTTTTAAAATTGATTTAAAGGACTTAATCAATGTTTCTCCTGGAATTCCCGAGTCACCTCCTGCTGCGGCGTGAAATGTTTTAATTTCGCTTAAAGAGCTTAAGGACGACGACACAGTGTCGCGGCAACAAAGGAGATGAAGAGCTGCGGCCAAAAAACGTAGTCCTAAGCTGGCCGCAGGGATCTGGTTTTGGATTTTGGTTTGCTTAGGGGTTTTCAGCTGGGTTTACCTCACGTTTGGACATGTGTGATGTCTGCTTTATATTTTTTCCACTCTGTGTTCTTTCCCTTTGCTTTTTGTTGGCTCTCTGATCGCTTTTTCCGCTCCTTTTGTGAAGAATATATGTATGCTCCTGCTCCGTCTTTGTCCTTTGAGTGCGTTTTGCGGCCTGTCAACAATGCCCCAGAGGAGTCTCCTGTTCCGTTGTTCTTCGGTGTTTTTTTCTTTTTTATTTGTTTGTTTGCTATTTCTTTGATTCGATTTGCCGCCTTAAAGGACCCGGCCAGAGAGCCGAATGTTCCGGCAAATGGTGAGAGCGAATTACGCCTTCTTTGATTTTGCCAAACCATTGAAATCATAATTAGAAGACAAATTATTCCTCTTTTCTTCTCAAGATCCCCAGACAATGGCCAGGCATCGAAGCTGAAGTGCTTATGTACGCCACAGTTTGAGAAAGGTTCTCAAACAAAAATATATAAAAAAAACACACAGAGAAACTTGAGTATTAATAAGCTTAGAGGAAGGAGTTGGAGTTTGAGCACAACAACAAAAAAAGAAATGGGATCGGGGTTAATGCAATCTTGGAAATATAATTGCCGAAAAGGTCTTTAGTTTGTATAAATATAAAATTCTTGGATTGTCTATTATATTTTGTATGTAATTGATTTTGTTTTTGGTTTTTATTGTTCGTAAATAATAAGGTTGTGGTAAAATTTTAAAGAAAATATTTTAGGCTTACTTAAATATATAAAACTGTAAACTTTAAGTATGTATTAAAATCTCTTAAAGGAATACGATTTTTTGAAACAATACCCATCCATTCTTATCTCCTTTTCTCATAGTAAAATATCTCTAAAAGATCCTACCCATTCCTGAAAAACCCTCCATAACCTAGGCCACCTTTTCCCATGACTAAGAATAACATCCATCAACTCATATCCATATCTTGCTCCTTGACTATCTCCACCTTAGCTATATCTGCATTTCATATATCTCACAGACCACTTCATCTTCTCTTATATCTCAATTGTGGGATCATAAATGCAAACCATCAAATGTGATCCATCTCCTTGGGACGCCAGTTCATTTTTATGAGTTTTTCTGCAGCTCATTTCATCACTTCAACGTGGAGAGATGTCAGAGGATGTGTCCCCACTGATTTACGGCCCAGCTAGAGATGTCAGTTTATTTTCGTGTTTCTCTGTTTTTAAAACTTCGCATTGACATTCGGCTATATAACATATACATTTTAATGGGGTGCGGGCAGGTGTTAAGGAGGTTATCCACGCGATCCACGCTTCCTGTTGCGGTTAGCCTGGGGCTGTGCCTTGTCTCTCCCTCTGGAATTCATTTGCCTTTTGGGGGCTGATACGAATTGATTTGTAATTAGTTGCAGTTGCAGTCAACAATGTGATTATGCCGAAGTTTGAGAAAGGAGGAGCCTTCTGGGAGCACTGGGGGCGGAGTGCGATCTAGGGTTACACAGATGCGAGCAGACCGACCATGATCCCGAGAAGCGGATCCACTTGAGATCTTGAGGTTTAAGCATAAATTACACATTCTGAGTGGAGGAGCACGGGGTATTATCCTAGGAAATTGACAGCTCCCCTAAGTAGTCATCTATCCATGACATATGCGGAATGTCGACTCTCGGAGGGCGTTCTGGTGAGTTGTAAACGCATCTGTGGCCAGGGATTTGGTCCTGCCTTTGGGATACGGACAGGCGATCCCCGATCTCCATACCCACTCCCTTTCCCGTCGCCATGTGTCGGCAACTGTTCCGTATCCCATGGCCGTTGACAGTTCGGTGGTGTAAATCATTGTACGGCAACTGTCAACCGCTTTGAGGTTTCCATTTAATAAATTCAAGTACTTTGTGTGTGCGCACAGGCGGGTTATTAAATTAGAGTTTAATCCACTTCGGACACGCGTCTGCGAACATTAATTGAATTCATAAATGAGCAGTTTATATGATATTTATATATTAACTAATTACTGTTTCATTCGATTGTCGTTTCCCTGTGCAGCAATTTTTTTGTTCCATTTTTTGTTCCTTTTGGTTTCATCAACAATTGGATTAAATTCATAATGCAAAATGGCATTTAAAATGACGCTTTTAATAAAACCAAAGCGTGGTAAAGAAAAAAAATCATGGTAACGAAGTTGCAAAATTCCATTTGACTGGTTGGGGATTTTCGGTTTATTTTAATTAACTTAATGAAATGCATTTGGCGAGGTTTATAAATGTATATGCCGCAAGATTGTTAGTTCGGGTTAAGGGATTACGCAGGGGATTTGTTCATATTAAGTTTACTTAATATTGACTGAGACATTTTTAAATCATATAATAACAAATTAAAGGATTACCGGAAGTTCTACGTTGATTATCCGGCTCGAAAGACCAATATAAAAAAACATTTTCCAGCTTTCTTTTTTAAAAATACTAATTTACGTATAAAAAGAAATTAATTCACAAACAAAAACCAGAGATAATTATATAGAAATTGTAATAAACCTACGCCCAAATGATCTTTCGAGCATGGAATCTACCATTTTCTGGCTCTTATCAAACACCAATCTTAATGAAGAACTTCTTTGGATCTCTATCACAAGAAGTTCTCCCATGAATTTCCCGATTATATAGTTTCTAATGGCTGAACCTTGTCTGCCCACTAAAAACCATATCAAATTGTAAATGTAATAAAAACGGGAATCATTAACCAAGAAGCCGCAAGGTGTGGTGTTCCCACAACTTCTTCTTTATCGAGGCAAACATCAACACCTCAGCTCATCTAGGTTATCGGTCATATTCAGCGTCGGGTCATATGAATAATGTCAAATTATTTCATTGCACCAAGAACCCACCCTACCCGATGCATTTATATTTTGATCGATTGCCAGGAAGAAGGGAAACTAGTTTGACATTAATTGACTGCCAAATATGCACAAGCGCATGAAATTATGAAAAATCTTATTAAAGTCATCCCATCCTGGAACCCCCAAAGAAAAAAAAATCAACTCGGCCAAAAGTTCATAAATGCTAATGTGGCCCGGAGCCTGACGATGATTGATGGTCGCCACGGCGTAGTAAAAGTTCCGCAATGTGGGAAACCCCATTTCCCGCAGACTTGCGGCACCGGAAGACGGATCAATCCTTGGATGAAACTGTATACATTTCACCTTTGTGTGCTCCAGGTCGGTCCCCTTTTAAGCCAATTTAATCCCGAGCCGGCTTAGGGCATTACGATCTGGGATTAGGCCATGTTGCAGCATCTTTAACGTCGGCGCAGATTTTCTTGTTATATGCGTTGGCAAATATTTGTGAACGGGATTTGTTTGTAGGCGGTGTTCGCCTAATGATCTTTGCCAAAAAGGAAATCAGATTTTCCAGTTCCTGGGAAAGTAGGCGGCTCACCCAAATATCCTTTTGTCTGTCTAGTCCGCCATTCAGGCTCTTATCCAGCTGCATTTAGGTGTTTTTATTTGGCCAAAGGTCGGGCTTTTATTCTTTTCTCCCTGGACAGCCCAAAGCTAACAGGAACAGTGTTGGCTTTTTAGGGATAAATTTACATTTATTTTGTGAAAAAGAACTTCACTTAAAAGGTTAAAACTTACACAGAAATAAATGTAGAAAAATGAAACACATTATAAACACAAGTTTGAAATTGTTAAAGTTAAACTTTTGAAACAAAATAAATAAAAATAAATGAAGAGAAAAATCCAGAGCAGCTAGAATGACAGCTCTGGCGGCCAGGACCCTTTATTCCCCATCCCCCACATCCCTGGAACCCTTCATCCTTTTGACTCTCCATGTGTCTGCTTGGACTCCGCATCGCATAATTTTTCACTCGCTCGTTGTTTTGGTGCGTATATCCCTCGGCTGTCTGCTGCTTTTTTCCCCCCTTCATATTTTTTTCATGTGTTGATAAATTTGCTTAGATTATTATCCTGGATCCTGGCGTGGCGCTTGGAGCTCTGCTTTGCCGCTATCTCCCTGTCGTAATTAGTCTCGAGCTTGTTTGCCCAGCATTTACACAGAATACTTTACCAGGCGCCGCCGCCGCACGCACTCACGTACACGGACAGTGGTCGCTAGGACATGGCCTGGAGTCCTGGAGGCGGACAAACAAATGGGCTGGGCCTGGACTTACGTCTAGGCAAATTGCTGGAGGGGAATATGAATGAGTGAAATTCGTTTTTGCAGCACAAATACCTCATATTCTAATAGATAACCCGCCTTGGCGGCCCTAAATTGCGGGATATGTCAGGAAGAAAGCGCAGCTCTCTATCTATCTCCACTTCCCCCCCAAAAGTCAAACTGGCAACCTTTTAGCATAAATTTCTACACGGGCTCTGCGAGCACGACAGGAAGTCGTCGCCAAACGCCTCCGTCAACCGCAATTTCCATTAGCAGCTCAAGGCAAGGGAACTCCATTCACATGTGGAATATGTACACATATATAGAGTAGTATATGGATGACGGTCCCGGGGTACATTTGACATTTTAAGGAGCGCCAAGTGAGTTGCAGGTAGCTCAGGTGAGCTGCCAAAGGA